CCATATGCCAGCATGACATGGCAGCCTCATCCTTCTCCTTTCTTCTGTATATCACTTGCAAAGTTGTTTGATTTTAAGGTAAATGCTTTTCCCACAGTAGCAAGGGCCTCTCATTTGTTTTTACATGCCACTAATCTAACCCACAGGCTTGTGTTTGGATTCCTGCTTCCCCTAGACTGTTCATAATAAAAAAAAAAAAATCAGGATTGGGCAATAGCAGTTGAAAGGGAAAAGTAATACCTCTCTTTTTCTTCTTCAAAACCACCAAAATTGACACTAGATAAAAGGGATGGGAGACATCGGGGAAAATATAGGGTTTGAGGTTTTTTTTTCCTATTTAAAAATTAGTTTTGTTAGTGACCATCCAGAGGAAAAAAGTGTTTGTTACTTTGACTCAACAAGACCTCTAAATATTTTTAGTTCCTTGCTATCACTATGAAGCCCCACCTGGGGAGGTAGCAGGAAACATTCCCTGGAGGATCCTAGCAGCTTTTGGAGCTGAGCTTCTGAAGAGGGAAGATTTGATGACAGGTAGCAGGAAACATTCCCTGGAGGATCCTAGCAGCTTTTGGAGCAGAGCTTCTGAAGAGGGAAGATTTGGTGACTAATCCCAGGAAATCCCCTTCTCCTGGGCAAGACGACCTCTCCCGATCCTGACTGCTGTTCCTGGTGCGCAGCATTTCTCTGGTATGGGCTGACAGGTGCATGCCCAGACCCTGGAGGGTGCTTGCCCTGCCAAGACATAGCAGTAGTTTGGGTGGTCCGGGCACACCATGATCTGCTCTAACCCCTCCACTCCTGAGGGGGCTGGAGGGGGATCCATCACCCCTTCCTGGTTACTGCCTCCACCTCTGATCCAGCAGAAAAAGCCTCTCCTCCTGTGCCAGGACTGCTGGTGCTCCCAACCTGACCCCAGCTGCTGGTGTGTCCATCTCCCCTGTGCTGCCCGCTGGAGCGTGCTCCCTCCTCTGCTCGCCAGGTGCCTTCCTGCAGGGACAGACCTCCAAAAGGTTTCCACCACTTCCTCCCACAGCAGTTTTACCTCTTCTCTCTCCCCTGAACTGGACATCTCTGTGCGTCCTTCACGTGGCAGATGGTACAGCCACGTTTGCCTGTACCCTCGGTGAGTACTTGCCCAGCACAGTCCTGCTCTGGGCAGCGTTGGTCGGTCCAGGGCACGACCAGGAGGCAGCACATGCTCAGCACTGTCCCTACAGGCAGCACAGACAGGGCTGATGTGTTTTGGCTGGAGAGGAGAGAGCAGGTGCTGTGGTACTCACCTTCAGATCCCTGTCATGGCTCTAAGTGTCCCCTGGGGTGTATATGATGCAGGTGACAGGAGTCTGCGGCAGCAAAGTGGCCCAGGAGATGGAGAAGACACTGGGCTGCTGTTCTCTGTTGGGGAAGAAGGGTCTGACTCTGCCCACAAAGCAGCAGTAAGAATGTGGGTGTTGATTTTTGCCAGCTTCAACATGGGGAAAGGGCTGGGACAGAACATGGGCTTGGTGGTGGCAGATGTTGAGGCCTTGAGACCAGCCCTTGTGACCTGCCAGGGTCTTCCAGTGCTATCCTGACATCAGGAAGAGGGCCAAGATCCCTGCAGATGGAGTCACAGAATAGAGAATAGAAGTAACAAATGCAAACCATGCCTACCTCACACCACTTCCCCAGAGAGGTCCTGCCAGGGAGGCACCAGGGTACCAGCAATGGCTTGCAGGTGGTGGCTGAGCAGGGCAGGGGAAAGATAGAAGAGACAAGGGTGGGGTTAAAGGGGAGAGAAGTGGCAGAGAGCTTTCATACAGCCAGGCTGGGAGAGGGCTGGTTTCACACTGGAAGGCCTAGCAGCAAGGACTTGCCCAATGGCACTGGGAGCACAGTCCCCAAGGAAGCTCTGCTGGGTTCCAGAGATGAGAGGTCCCTGGTCACCAAGGGAGGAGATGCTGGAACACAAGCCATGTGTGCTTCTGAGCCTGTTTGCAGCTTGTAGCTGCAGGCTGTGACAAAGACTGTATCTTTAAGACATGCTGGGGTTGCGCACAGCATTATCATATGGACATGCCCTATAACACCTCAAAAGCACCTCAGCTTTCCAGTGCCAAAGTGGGTCTGGGATGTTCTCCACTACACTTTGTGGGCATTGAAGGTTTCCTAAGAAAATATTTCCAAATACATCAAAGTGGTGTGTGATGCGGCAAGCCACTGCCAGCATAGTGCATTTGGGGCACCACACGAGACCAGCACACTGGATGCTGGATAGGTAAAAAGAGGATGTTGAGCCCACTGAGTCCCAAACACCTCCTGAACGCCCTGGAGCTGCTTGAGTTTGGTTTCCGAGTATTTTTGCTTTTGAAAGTTGCACTTGTGAGACTCTCTTCTTCCCTCTAGCGCCCATTCCGAGGCATTCCTCTTGCCCTTCAAACCCAGCAAAAGCGGCACTCGCCTGGTTGCATTTGCACTCAGGCACAGGTTTTATATCTGTAAATGATACTACAACTCTCCACCCAGTCATCTGACGTTTTCTTTTTCTGGTTTATGCTGTGCCATGCCGGAGGATCCTGTTGGAAGGCCGTTGTCTCCTGGCAGCTTGAAAAATTATGTCAATTTCTAATTTTAGCACGATCACCCTGAACTCCAGCTGTGGATGCACAGCCACGAGGTTTCTGATGGAAGTGTGGAGAGGACACCTTGTTGAGGGATAGGTGAGAGTGAGGCCCTGCACTTGTTGCCTGTGTTAGATCATGCTACACCTCTTCTCAGATCACATAATTTCTCCTTGGGAGATCAGAAATTACTGCGGTGCCCTAAGGCTGGATCAAGGCTGTCACTGAAAGGTTGTGTTATTTCTGGTGACAGCAAGAGACCTCCAGGATCACCTGGAGGCAAGAGACCTCTCCATCACCTGGGTCACCTCCCAGCTGGCTGAACCAGTTTCCAAAAGTCCAGCCATAATCCTCCTCTTTGAGGAGAGACATGCCCCTCTTCTGGAGATGGGGCAGCAGATCCACCCTCCCAGATGCACCTGCACCAGGCCAGCTCTCCACCAGCTGACGGTCTGCTCTGGCTCCTTGAATTCCATCCAGGACATGCTCTCCTTGGTGCCCTGCAGCTATCCTGCCCTACCTGTGCCTCTCTGGAAGGTCCAAGAGCTTCCCAGACTGGCTCAAAGAGCCATATGCACTGAGGTGCTGCCCCAGTGCTCACAAGCTGTCTCTACTCTCCAAGCCTGATCCTTTGTCTTGGCTAGGACATTTCCAGTACCTCCTGGGGTAATTTTAGAGGAACAAAACACAATAAAAACATGGCCAGGATTCTCTCGTGTAATGAGAAAGCCATTGCAGGGCAGGATTCATCTCACCTGGCAACAGATGGTACCGAGCAGACATGTAAGCCATCACAAACCCTGTTTTATCGGTGGAGAGACTGGCACTACTGGAGCATGAGCCATCTGACTCATACTCCAGCAGCACCTGTGTTCTACTGTGGGTGCAGATACTGCCCATTGCAGGGAGCCCAAGCCTCTTAGGCTCTGAACAAGCCAAGGAACTGTGTAGGAAATGATCCTCAGTTGGCCTGTCATTTGTGTGTATTTGAAGAAGGGACACGTACGACATTTTCCTTCCTGAACATCTCCTGTGTTTTCTCCTCCTTGACAGCCAAAGAAAATATCTTCTATTCATCCTTTAATGAAGATTAATTTGTTCCAAGTGCAAAGCAATCCCAGGCCTTCACTGAGAGTAATGGCCTTGGCATTACTCTCAGTGAAGCCACGAGCCCTGGGCTGTGAACGCAGCTGCCATGGGGGCCCTGGACAGGGTGAGCATCCCCTTTGGCCTGTTCCTAAATGGGATGCCAAGGTGTCCACAATGGGCTGGGCTCTGCAGAGCTGGGAGGTGCAGAACCCAATCCAAGTCTGAGCAGGAGCCACCTTTGTCAGGGACTATTTGTCAGGGTGGGATGCTGTCCCAGACATGCTCCCTTTCAGGGGTAGGGATGATTCTTAGTCAATGAAATAACTGGCTGGCACACAGATCCCTACTTCTTTTTCCCATGTTTATTTTAAAGTTCTGACTGAGTGGAGTCTTTCAGTCTGCAGGGCACCACCAGCCACTCCAGCAGGGCTGTTCGTGGGACACCAGCTAAGTGATGCTGAGAGGCCTCTTAGATGGCTCGTGCTTCTGCTAATGCTGCAGCATCTTCACTTTGGGCCAAATCCCTTTCCCTCCCTGCAGGGCAGCTGTTCCCAGCTAACCACCCCCTCCCTTAGCAGCATGTACTGGTGAGACTTGGCTCCCAGCAGAAAACTCTTCCCTGCAGTGCTGATGTATTAATAGGTGAGGGGAGCAGCTCTCACCCCTCTCTCCAGCTTACACACTGGATATCAATTTGGCAGCCAGCAGAAAATCCCATTAAGGCAGTGAGATACTTGAAGGCATCAGCAACTCCTGGCCCATTACAAGAATGAGGGGATGGACTCTGGTAATGCACATCTGAAACTGGTCACATCCAACTGGAAGCAAGGATCCTACTGAGACAAATATTAAGAGTCTGCAGAGGCAGGGATGGGAATAAGCTCATTCATTAAAGGACTTCGTCTATGTTCAAGGGACCAATGCGTGATTTCAACAGAGAAAACGGTGACAAAAAGCCCACAAAATGAAACTCCCCTTTTTTCCTTTTGGGCCAAGAGAACTGAATTCACAAATAGCCCACCATGCCTTACATTTCCTAATTAGCCTATTAAAGACCTGGCTGGCTTTTCCATTTTCTAGATGAAAAAGTTGGAAAATGAACCAGCAGAGGCTAAGCCAGGGCAATCATTTTCCCTGTGGATCTGTTATAGCTGTCCAGACAGCAATGGCCCTGTTTATTTTCCTTGTCCAGGAAACTGTGACAGACAGCAGCATGGCAGCCCTGGGAAACCCTGAGGTGCACCCAGTACTGTCAGAGAGAAGAGAGGAGGCTACCAGCCCTTCTTCCCCATCAGACTGGGCGATCACAAATCATGGACTTTGTGACCACAAACTTGCTTTCTTAGCAAGCCTCTCTGTTGTTCCATGCATGAAAGGCTGGCCACTCAGTTCTGGACACTAAATCCCCACAGACACAAGAGCAGAGGGCATCCAGCCCGTCTTACACATCCATCCCTCCCAATACACACCTGAGGAGGTGACGGGCAACCAGCTGATGCAGTGATCAATAGGCATATCAATAGACATCTCTTCCTGCCCCTGGCAACACACCACACCACCATGCAGCATGTGACTGCCTTGGTTAGGCCACCAGTGGGGCAGATCTGCTTAATGAGTGGTGGGGTGGCTGTTCTGAAGGTCACACACAGCCTGCAGCCCTGAGAGTGTGTGTGTGTGTGTCCTGGGTGCCTGATGGGAAAATACAACAGGAAACCCTGAGTTAAATGGTTTTGATGAAGCCCTCACGTACTGATTTCCCCCACACCAGGGCAGAGCTGTTTTTTTCTGACCAGTTCTCCACATCCTCTCTGCCAGTTCAGAGAAGCTTCTTGTTCTGTGCACATACAGAGCCAAGTGGAGTTTGCTGCAAGATGAGACCACAGATGGTTTTGAGAGACTTTCCAGATCTGTACCAAGTTTTGTCTCTGCAGATGCTCATGTCCAGATCCAGTTTACACACCCACTGAACTTTTTTTTTCCCTCCACCCCTTTGAAATGAAAGATGTCGATTGAGAAGGAGGCTCTGAATATCTGGAGAACACAGTCCTACCCATCACCCCCTGGTACAACCCTGGATATAGAGCAGGGTCAGTGCTGTGTCTTCTTTCTTTTACAAGGCCAGCTTTTTTTGGTGTGTGATAGTATGGTCAGTGACACTGGCAAAAAGTCAAATTTATGAGCCTATTTAAGGACACAGGCACTGTTGCTGGGTGAAATCCTGCCTGCATCCATAGTATTGCATAAAATCACATACCACATAAATTTAAATGATTTTCGATACATGATTTCTGCTAGGACACACCAAAACTGAGCAAACTTGCTTCAAGCTCCAGACTGTTTTATAAGATAAAGTGGTGCAAGGAGCACCATGAAAAAGGAAGTTTTAGGGCTTTGTCTATTATTCTGCTTCTCTAAGTTAAGATGGCCAGAATAAAGGAAGCATAAACTAATTCATTAAATCATTGTGTAATTACAGTTTTATAAACTGATTTTAAAAATGTAATCTAACATAGTATTTTAAACTGGAAAAAATGTGATGATGCTTGGTTTCAGACTGCAACATCCATAAAGTTGTAAGACACAGTCATTTGAAACAGCATCTCACAGACTGCAGTCACTAAAACAGATGTTTTGGATCTTACCCGGACAGGAAGCAAATGTCCTATTGAAAAAACAAGAGATTATTCCCTTACTTCCCTGCTTTGCTGCCTCATCACTTAAAATTATCCAGTTATAATAAATTGGAAATTCTATTTGATCTGAAAATGCTAGAAATGGGATGGAGGTGAAAGGCACATGCAGAGGGTGTTCTGACACCTGGTGACAGAATTCAGCTCTGCTAGAGAAATTCTGGAGTGCAGTGTCTATTCAGAGAAAGTGAGACAAATCCTTCCAGGTAGCTATGGAGCAAACAAACATGTTAATATTGGGATAAGCCACTCATCCAGTATTTGCTCCCATAGCAATGCATCCTACAAGAAACTCCAATGCCTGTGTATAGGGTGAGCTCCTGTGGGGGCATAAACTCTGAAACCATCTCTGGCCTTCCTGGGCTCCTCCTCAGGCAATGCACCCCTCCCTTAGAACCTGCTCTGGTCAACACTTCCTCTCAAGCCCTTGATTTTGGCCCGCACATGCTAAACATCCAGGACTGCAAAAGACACATTGCTGGCTGCTGGTAGGTCACCTCCGCCAGCCCACTCCACAGACAGCAGGCTCCATGCTCTGCTCATGCTCTTTGTTTGGTGTCCCTGCCTGACTCACAGAGCTGGGTATGGTGTGGATGAGAGGAAGTATGACAGGATTTGTTCTGTTTTAGTGCATATAGGTTGCAAAAATAACCGCATTTTTCTGTAATAAGAAGTTCACTAGCTCATTGGTTGATCAGTGGTTGCTCTTAAAATATTTCTGGACCAGCTGTATCCTGAATTGAGGCAAATCACGTTGTTTGTTTGAACTGCTCTGTGTTTAGCTTGCAGAAGAAGCTGCAGGACAGCATCAATCCTTCATGGCTGCACTATGTACATGGCTCCAACACATGCTGTCAACTGGGTATCTCCTAGAACTGAGGACTTCTGTTCCGAGATGTTTTTGTGGCAGTGGATTTTTTTGGCAATGACTGCAGAAGGGACCTGGCAGTCAGGGACCAAGCAGAATTAGTTGGCCTAAACCTCTGTGAGGCTTTTGTGGATGAGCAGGCAGCTGGGTGCTTGTGGTTGATCTCTTTAGAAGGGCTCTCATCCATGATGGGCCTGAGGAAAAGAGGAAAACTGTGGTGAGACTGCACTCCATATTTGAGTATCTGCATTCTCCTCAGCAGCTCTGAAAACTGAACCAAAAGCTGCCAGGCCTGGGAGAAGCCCCATGCACACGAGCTTCCCACACAAGGCACATGCTCTCTGCCTAGGCTGACTCCAAAGTGACTACATTAATTCCAACCCAAGCTGTCATGTCACAGGTCCTCAGTTGTATTTCTTCAAAGAAGCAGCAATATGATACTAAATTTGCAGCAAACAGGTTCAGAAATAAACACGTTTCAGTGCATGTGACACTTCTCTACTTTATTTTCCAGAGCTCATTCTAACATGAATTTGTGGCAGGGAAAAAACCCAAATGGGATTTCAGGAACTCTTCCTGGAGTGTACTGGAGAAGAGTTTTGAATGAGTGCCATAAGATCTTTGCAACAGACACAGCATTGGCTCTGGGTGGGGAACATGAGAATGGAGCAGTAAGAACACAGCAAAATTCTGGGCTATTATTCAAGAAAATACAAAATTTACAATACTTTAAGCTATAAGGAACATGGGAAAATGTTTCATTAACTTTAGAAAGTCAAAGGTAAATGTCAGTACAAATAAAAGGAATTCTTTTTACAGAAGAAGCAGGAGACCCCAGAGAGACAGAGAAATCTGCCTTTTCCTGCCATGAAGTAAGTCCCTTCCATTTTCCCAGACACATTCCAGTGCACATACCTGATCCTTGATGACCCCACAGCTGTTGGTCCTGGAATGGGCCTTTGCTGGCTGATGGAGCCCACAGGCTGGTGCTGCCTTTGGGATCCAGAGGCAGCCAGTGTGCTGTGCAGGCACAGGAGAGAAGGTTGTTTGTCCAGGGGCTGGGCTGAATTCTCTTGATGAGCCTTTGACTGGCATTGCTGTGTATACTTCCTGTCTTCCTCTTGGCTGGGTGTCTTTAGGCCCATGTGGTTCCTTGTTTTCCAGGGTCTTGCTGCAACATCCACTGCAGAGGCAGGTGAAGGATTTTTTGGAGGGGATGGAATTATATAACGTTTTGAGTTGGAGGGCACTGCACCCTCCTGAGCCTGGGATGAACCTGAAACAGAGTGGAAAGCACAGTGATTTACCAGTTCATCTGACTGCTAAATAACTAACCCAGGGAGTGGAAGGTTTTGGAGATGCTGTGTGATGGAGCAGGGTGAGCAGTTGTGTCTCGGTGCTGGCCATGTTGAATTGCTTCCTCTGACAGTAGGTTTGGGTTCACTGGCAGCCTCCATGCCAGCACTGCTGGTGACGCACCAAGCATGGAGCAGCTCACAGGCAGAGCTCAAGGGGCACACACCAGCTCACCTGCCCTCCTGTTCTCCAGCAGGATCACACCTGCATCATTCCTCACCAGTGTTTGCACTGACTAGCTCTAAATACCTTAGGACTCCTTCCAGTGATCTGAAGTGCAAGGCAGAGGAATAATCACGGATGAGTGGATCCACTTTTTAAATCAGAGGAAGAGATTATGGAATCTCATCTTAAGTGCCTGACTTCTGGGGAAGACATTGCACTGCATGCAGGGCTACTTTCAGGATGTTTGTGTTTCAGCCATGTAATTCTCTCCATGTAATATGTGCAACACACAGAGAAAAAACTTGTTGCTGACTTATAAATATAACAAGCATGCACACATGCTTAGAACCATTCTAAATATAGCAGGGATCTGACTCTCTTGTCTACTGAAAGAACCGACCATTCTATAAATAGCAGGGATCCAATTGCTTTTGTCTATTAAAAGAACCAACCATACCTAAGTGCCTGATGTGCAGGGTCCAGGGCAGGAACACAATCTAAAGAATGTGCCACCAAAACTCAGGCCCAGAAAGTTGGTATCTGTGGCTCCCAACTGACGGGGGTGTATTTTACTGCCCAGGTAAAGCTGGTAAAAACTTTTCATGGAACAGTTTGTATCATACTATACACTTTAAAAATGTCTAAACTTCATTATTTGTTTTTAAGTATAGCCACTCTGAGAGACTGGTATGTCTGACTCAAGAGCCTGAAATAACATTCAACACCTTCCAAAAAATGCAGTTTATATGGATCTGATGCTGCAAACATTTTCATGTGCGAGTGGCTTTGCTCAGATGACTTGTCCTTTTCTGGTCAGAAGGATTGCTTCCAGCAACAAGTTCTTCTGTGAGAAACTCACATTGGATTGGACACACTTCTGTGTGAGATTAGGATCCTGGTCAGTCCCCCCTGCCACCTTAGACAATTCTAAATTTCAAACCACTCCATCCTCATCATCATCCAGCAGATTTAGTTACAAGATGGACAGCTCCGTGCCCAACCATTCACTTACACAGTGCTACAGGGCGTGACACAGGTACACTGGGAGATGTTTGTGATGTTGTCCTGTCAATCTTCAAAGAAGATGAAACCATCATACTCAATGTAGAGAAATCATATAAAATCTGAAAAAGTTCAGATTAAATCTAAAGAGACCACAAGATCATAATTTAAGATTTCTGTGGTCACTGGACAACAGGCCATTCCTTCAGATTTTTCCAAACAGCTTTTATTCTTGTTAGGGGGATACTGTTTATAGTACATGTTAATACACATATAGGCTTTGAATAATTTAATTATATTTCCAGGTTTTTTTTCAAAATAGACTATATTTTTCTAAATTTTAGTAGATCCATTTTTGCCCTTGAAAGAAATGTAAAATGAAAACTTAAATGGCTTTACTTATGGAGAAAAAAAGAGTTGTTTTTATTAACAATAGAAAGAAAGATTGAAGTTGTAATTACATATGGTCCTCTATTTGATATATGTTTGGAATACCCATTATTAATGTTCTTAAAATATTCTTAAAGACAATATTCAACAAGTAGTGAAAAGTGGGAATTCTGCTTTCATTCATGTAAATGCAATTTCAGAGAAGTCTTTGGCTTTATTCCTGAGTAGAAGAGCATGTTCCATTTTTAAACCTTTTATTGAATACATCCTTTTGGTTGCATATCTTTCCAGAATTCCCAGTTGCTCAGTTAAACCTTAATCATTAGCTCAGTCATTATTTACATCAGTGCCAACTGAGTTCAAATACAGCTCAGTAGGAATGACAGTATTTTAGACTCACCTGGCACTGTCATAAAATAATGACACAAGGTAAAAGACAGAGACATGTCCTCCTACTAGACTTGATGCTAATCTAGTCTAAGATCACCTTTGCTCCTCTTGATTCTACATATTCATGCCAAAATATATCACCTGATGGTCAACACAGCTGGCCACAATGTCCTGCTTGAAAACTGGAATGGATTGCTTAGGGTATGGCTCTGCAGTTGCATTTTCCAATTGCTGCTCTAGAGCACAGACACCAGATCTCAAAAAACACTGGGGTTACCAATGCACACATCTACAAACACCACGTGTTACTGCCTGATGCCAACCCTTCCCCAGGGGTTTAGGTCCAGTACCTGTAGAAGAGTGGGAAGTAGGCTCAAGTGGAATCCTTTCAATAGGTTCCTTATCATAGGCCTCCCTCAAGTAATCTTCCGAGCTATCAGTCAGGCTCCAGTCTTCACCCTCATTCACCTTCACTGCTTGGCTGGCTTGTCCTTGCTGACCTGCTTGCAGGCACCTGGACAACATCAAGTATCACACCTTTAATTAGCTTTTGAGTGTGTTTATGCAGCTTGGCATGTCCACTCAGGCAAACACCCAGGCAGTGGATTTAGTTACCCACTGTTACTTCACAACTTCCAGGAGATATGAAAAATCATTTTAATTGGATCAGCTATCTAAGATCCCTGTGTCTGATTATCTCAAGCATCTTAAAGTTAATCAGATGAAGTGGGGCAGATTTAGAATACTACTCATTGAAGTAAGCTCAGAGAAATAAAAGCAGTTTAACTTCCAAAACAACCATTACCTGTCTGTGAGATCTATGAGATCTCAGCAAGGTGATATTTGTCTTTCAGCCTTTTGTTTGCTTAGGCCAATGTGCTGCTTGCAGAAAAGCTCATCCATCCCCTTTCAGCTCTTTTACTGACTGAAGGTAGACACTGTCAGGCCCAAGAAAGGCTCGCCAGTTATGAAAAGTCATTTCCTTGCTCTTGCTAAGGAAGTGAGCCCATCCTGCCTGTGCTCCAGAGAGAAGGAAGAGGATTCTTCTTCCTTGCCATCCCGCGGATGCTCCAGGCGGGATGGAGGATTGCCGCCCAAAGCGGGGACAGGAAGGAAGGAGGCAGAGAGACTGTCCCTCGAAACCGCCACCAGGTGGCCAAAGCGATGATTTTATTTTTGCAGCGGAAAATGAACGCACGGCAAGATTTCCCCGGCGGTCTCACCCCTTGTGCTGCTCGGTCCATGTTCCCAGGTCAGGGGAAACCTTTTCCTGGTGCAGATCTCTTCCTCCTCCAGAGCCACAGAGGTTTTCTGTCATCAGACTGGACGGTTTCAAAGGGCTCACAGTAGGAGGTAGCTGTGGAAATGGCAGAAGTTACCTAGATATCCCTGGGAACTCTCACCAGCTCCATTTCTAGATGTGGATTTTAGAATGCATCAAAGCCCACGGTTATTTTTCAGATCATTCCTCATCATTTTCTAACTCCTCAGTTTTAAGAAGTCCCCCTCCCCAGTCATGTACTGCTACAGCCTGAAGAACCAGGATAGCAGTTACAAAATTGTTGATTTATATTTCACTGGATATAAGCCTATAGCACCTATACCAATAAGCATATTAAGACCAGTACCACAGAAACTGCATCACTCAGTATATGACCACAGTTTGACTCCACATCCCAGTTTTTAGCACACAATAATTCACTAAAATGTTCAAATTTGTTTCAGAAAAGCTTCCCATGCTGAGGCAGTGGCAGCAGAAAGACAAGGGCAGTACATATTTTTTCCCTGCAGCTCTTTAACATCTGCTGTCAGCATTAAGCCTGTCCTGTGCATCTCCCTGATTTACCCCAGCCTGTTTAAATCTACTCATGTACAGCTATGCTGTGTTGAATGTCAGAGCCCGCAAAAGCTGACCATGACGAGCCAGGCTGCTCCCCTTTACACACACAGGTGTCCTCTCACTGAATTACTGCCAAAATGAGCAGGCTGACCCGAAAGGCAGGGGCACCACCCCACCGCCAAGAGGAACAAACTTTGGCTTTGTGTTTGTTTTGTCAATAGGAATGACCTTGCAGTATTAGCAAGGTGACTGTTTACATCAACATCAAATAAACACTGCTGAAAAAAGACTTTTTCTTAGTAGCTATTGCAGAAATACCATCAAATTTTGCAATCCTGCCTTGTACTTTGCCCACTGCAGGACGATAGGAAGTCTGTCCCCAGCAGCTGATAAGTGATTTTCACATATTCCCTTACAGCTGATGGTCCACTGCTGCTAACACATGGGCACATGCAACATCATGGTAGGAGACTCTCTGTCCTCCTCAAAGGCAGCTGCATGGTGGGGGTTCTTGGGCTACAGGAGAGAGTGAGCTGCTACAAGCCACAGTGGGAGTTCAGTTTATCCCAGGAGTTATGGGGGTCACCAAGCAGGAACATGAAGTATACAAGAAAAACATACATTTAGCTTTTGCCTCCTCGCATGGAGGGCCTTGGCGGGATTCCCACATATAACTTGACGGAGTCCTAAGAAAAACAGGAAAAAGAAAACATTTTACTCCAGCATTTAACAAATGGTGCTGTCGTTGAAGTCAGTCAATATAATTTCCCATAGACAGGAAGTTGTAATATTTCATGGTGTCGGTTTGCAATATCAGCAGGCATGGCTTGACACGGCTGCTAAGAGGCAGCTTCTCTGCTTTCACCAGAATCTGTCTTCTTCTGCTCCTTCCCTGCCTCCTTAGTTGTGCTGGTGCAAATATTTGTGTGGACACATGGCCAGTCAGATCAGGGAACAAATTCAGATTAAAAAAAAAAATATTATTTTTGTGGGTCTTTTTTTTTTTTGTTCTGCTGGATTATTTTTCAGCTGGATCTTGATCAAAATCAGGTTAACAAGAGATAAGGCAGCAAAAGGTCAGAAGAAGCAGTGAACATTGGGTGAAATTGTCTCTATGAGTAGTGTTAGCTGCCTAAAAGTGTGTGTAAAATTACAGTCTCATTCCCTGACAAGCTGTACTTGATTTCCATGTACATTTCCAAATGTGCATTCAGCTCTTGACTCTGCATTGCTTCATCTAATCCATCATCCTGAGACCTACCTATAGGCAGGGAACTGAGGAAAGATTGGCATCTGAGAAAAGCAACCACAACGCCAGGAAACAAATGCCATCTTTCTATCTAATCTGCAGTCAGTGGGCTGGTGGAGTTACACTGTCAAGGTGTTTCCAGGAGGGTGGTATTCCCATTCCAGAAGGATGGGTGGTATTTCCAAGTGACTAGGGCAAGAAGAACAGTGGGAGACCTGTGTTTTGGATCAGTTTTGGGCTGATCCTGTGGATCAGGATGTGAAGTCAAGGAACTGACTCCTCTTGCTGAGGAACCAGCCTCTGGAAACCCAAACCAAAGCGCTCACTGACAGCAGCGATGCTGCTGTTGCAATATGAGACTGCAGCACACAGCCTGAGCACATGATCCAGTGGGGAGTGAATGGGCATCACCATGCCTCTCCAGAGGACTACCTTGGACAACGTTCCGTGGCTCAACAGGATGAGCCTGATGTTACTCAAGCAGGACAGCTGTGATGAGGTCTGAAAGGCACTGCCAGCACTGCAGTGAAAAGCAACAGCAGCACATGGTGCATGGGGGCGGGGGACTGAGGAGTGCGCAGCCCAGGTGACTCGCACCTTCTGCTGCAGGGGGAAATAAAGGAAAGCCTACACTAGAGCAGGTGAGTCTCGTGGAAGACAATGTATGCTGAACCTGATTAGCAGTGCCATGGGTGGGTGGTATTCAAAGCACCCTGGCTTTCATCAGTAATAACATTCAGGAGGAGGTGGAGGTGTGGGAAAGAACAGGATTAAAAAAACATACATTACCATGTGTCAAATCACTAGAGTCATCTTCTGTGAACAGCTTATCAGGAAAAACAGTGGAATCTGAAGGAGAACAGCTACCAGACAAGAGGCTGGCATCACTACACGTCCCTGCATTAGCAGAACACTCTGCATTTCCAGGTCTGGAAGGTGTTGGGGGTTTTGGGCTGCATCCAGACTGCTTTGCTACTTCCCCAAGATACAGATCTAGAAGAGAGATTTCATTAGTAGAAGCACAGTTGTGCAAGGCTTCAAACCACACCATCACTGTACCTTGCCAATATGGTGACTGCTGCTGCACACCTGGAGCTATAGGGGACAGAAAAGTATGTAACTGCACCTAAAAGAAATATGCTGGAATGGGTCCAGCATATAGACAGAGGTCTTCCAGTGTTGCACAGTCATGGCAGAATCTGGGGATCCCCTAATCAAAGTGATATCCCTTCTCACCCTTCTGCTCCTGGGCACCAGAGACAGACTACTGGGGTTATGGGTCAGGAACTCTCTCTGCTTACCACCCACCTCAGATTGTCCCACAGGTGAGCTTGGATTTATCCAGGGCTCTCCTACTTTCCCTGCCTGCAAGCCCAGGAACACTGTAAGATGCCTCTCATTTGCTGCCCACCTGCCCACAGGGGAACCATTACAGACTTGCTGCAGGCACAGCCTAGTCTTAAAAGTTTAAGCCCAGTCTTAAAACACATTGCTTAAATGCCCTGACACAATGCAGATGGTGATGGACACCTTACCAGAGCTACCAGTCAGCTACCAGGGGAAACTGTACCAGGAGTTACAGAAACCTGGTAATGGCAGTGATAGATTTTTCCAGTACTGCCTCAGAGACAGATAGTTCTCTATCTCAGAAAGAAAGGTGAAAAGTATTTTTGTAATGCTACAGGACAGGAAGGATTATACAAAAGCTAGCAAAGGCAGACAGAGCCTTGTCCTCTTGCCTGCCCCACTACTGGCTGTCCTGGGAGCACAGCACAGCTCTAAGAGCAGAATATGCAGCCGACAACCCGTGGGAGTGAGAATTTAATTTCAGTGCCCTGATGAATAACATGCTTTTTTAAATGTTGAGCATCTACCAGCTCCAAAATGAAGCATCAGGTCTGTGATAATATGGACATTTACTTAAGAGTTGAGCGTTAGGGACCTTTACTATATCTTGGGCACAGCTGTTAATATGAACCCATGAAACACACACCATGTGAAAAGCATCAAAATCAACACTGCTGCTGGAAAGAAAAAAAGTACTGGGATGTCTGAACCTGACTGGATGAACTTACTGGTTTAGAGCTGCCAGCAAGAATATAAGTCTGGTTACACCAGGAAATGACGTGAATTCATAATTTTGTGCTCTGCCCCTACTGCTTCTGTCAGCAAACTTTGTTAACTAGTTTTCTGAATCTCAGGTGATGTTGCCAAAGCACAATCACTGAGGGATCAGATTTTAATGGATTTTTTCCCTACCACGACTACTATTACAACTAATGATTTGGATCCATAGGGATTCAATAAATGACAAATGTATGTACTTATTCCAAAACAAACTAAATTTTTAATGGAGTACAGTTGGCAGGCAAACCACAACCTGGGGAGGGGGCTGGGAAGCCAATTGCATTGCCCACACTAATGGGAAGCAACATGAGCAGTTATAGGAAATACTTTGCAATATTTAATAGTATGTGGTAAAGTGCATGTAGCATGACACATAAAAGCATGGACATCTGAACTATTACCAAGGCTGCAGGCAAGGGGACAACAGATTTATGTTCAAACCATTTGTTCTCTACTAATGAATGTAATGAACTTAATCATAGTAACAAAGAAAGTGGAACAGATTTCTTACAAGATCATGCAATCTTCCTTGGATGCTGCTACCACTGAAGGGTGGTAACCAGATTGCCTTCCCTATTATTAAACTGGAATGGGAAATCCTACTACATCCATGCTACACTGGATTGACTGTTACCATGGAAAGAGCTGTGAACAGCTGTTGTTGAAACATTCCTTTCCAAGCTTTGCTTCTTCACATCATGCAGAACGAGCCCTAAGTACAGACTCCCAGTCACTGCTGTATTTGCTTGATGCTCTAGAATTTGTCTGCATTTTCTCATCTTGATGCCCAGCTTAGGACAACTTCCATTTAAATCTGCACTGTTATCTGCTGAATTCCAGCTTTCTTACTTACCAGGTGAAGAAGACAACATCCTTTGTCTGTCCCTTCACTATAAGTAAAGTCTGGCTTTAAAGAGATCCGCTTGCTCTTCATCTTTCTTTTTTTACATATCATAACTTGAAAAATGAACCACAACAAGGAACCTGTCATACCTAACTGTGAAATGTCTTTGACTAAACCACCTTCCTTGATGGATTTCTTGATGATTAGAGAATGCTCATGCATCTTCTTGGAAGGAAGGAGAGCAGTCTGACTTGCTGGTATTCTGTCCAAATACTTCAAGTGGGGAATGAGTTTTTTTACTTCTGCTCTGTAATTATAGTCTGGGTCCTGGAGAAATTGAGAAAGTGGTCAGTGTATTTAACAGTTTGTGGAATTCCAGTAGCACAGTACTGTTCAATTTGTATGACTGCCATATGATTTGAAATGCTTCTCACATAATTTCTACTTGAATTAATCATGAAAATGTCCTGAGGACTGCAAAGACATGTCCTTCAAAGGCTCCTTTGTTATTTACCCACTGATGACTTTGCCATTTGTCTTTGTTATATTATGTATAATGTACAAAAGCATAGAAGGCCACTGATGACCACAGAAAGCTGGGGCACCCTCAGCATTCAGCCAATCTGTCTCCCTGCTTTTGCAATTCTCTGGTGTTTGCATCAATACTCAGGTGATAGAAAGATTTGAAAATATGTTATGGGTGTTGCAACACCTGCTTATGGAGAAAGAAAGAGCGCTTCTGTGGATTGTGTTTTTAGGCACACCATAAAAAAGACATATAAAACAAGAGTGCATCGATAGTGGCAGAATACAAATGGACAGCTACCCACCAATCAATTGCTTCACCCAGGCAAATCTTACGTTTTTCAGGGCATTGCATGAAATACTAGAAACCCCTACAAAGTCAAGTCTTCATTCAATACGGAGTGATCACAAACAGAAATCTTTCTGTGGGGCCTGTCTGGCTGGATGCCCCCTCCCCCTGCACAATGCAGCACTGACATTGGCAGAAGGAACTCACTAAATAAAATGTGTTAGTTGTTGTTAAGAGGTGGACACTAATTTCTCAAACTAAGTCTTTAATCTTAATTTAGAGAATGAGTCAACCATTCCCAGCTACAGCCAATTCCCAGCCATGTCCTGTTGGAGAGAAGAATCATGTTACACTCATGTTGCATTACAGCAACAGAAGTTGCAGAATTTATCATCAAGTTGTTGCTCTTGGTTTAGATAACAGGGGAAGATGAGCTCATCTGAAAATCAAATTACAGGGAGCAAACAGGCCATCTGAAGAAAGAGCAGTAAATTTAGCTGGACCATTCTGTAGATTAAAAGTGAATAAATAGGAGAGCTTTTACAGACCTTTAGCAAGGGCCAGACTACAAGAAGGAGCTTGAGGAATTAGAGCTGGCCATCAGGGGCACACTAAAATAAGCCCACACCTACTCTTTTCTATACATCAAAAAAATGCAAACATCCACTGAAATCAAGAAAACAACAAAGTCCATGGAGGAGGTCTCAGCAGCCAAGGGCAGGCCCCACTTTGTAACCACCTGAGAGCAAATCATTTTCCCAGCACAGACACTGGGTGGGAGACTACAGGGAACTCAGTCTGCCTCTGCTACAATTCAGTGTAAAATACACCATTGTGCTGACTCCCCAGACAAATTCGCATCTGGGACCACCAATGACCACTGAAGCCCTTCCAGATATTCTTCTGTGGATACCTGGAACTCGGGCTGTAGATAAGATAAAGATGGTACTATTGTCCGGCTGTTACCTCATACTTAGCGGGAGGTTAACAAAGCTGGGAAGAATGTATCACTGATAATGGAAACAAAAAAATTGACAGGCCACACCACAAGGAAAGACAAATCAGCAGCTCTGCTAAAGTCAGTTCCCACTGGGTAAAAAGTATTCTGACAGGGGAAGATCATGATCATCAGCTCAAAAGAAAAGAAAGGCTAAGCATGTGGACTAATTAGCATTAGAGGCAAGAGATAATCATTTAACCAACAGCATAAGAGAACTGTGTAGCCAATGAGCATTAAATCCTGTTTTCTAAAATGTAGAAAAAATGAAAAGTTATGAATGACCTTGGGACTCTACCACCAAGAAGCCCCAGCTGAAGAAGGATCAACAGGGATGCCACTGGATCCATGGGTGACAACATTCTTTTCTCTCCTCTCTTTTCTATTTCTTTTTATTTCTCTACCTCACATTTACTGTTAAATAAAATCTGTATCACTGACTTTGGCATAAGGTTTGCACCATAATTCAGCAGAGGTGTCTCTCACTAATCAGATCTTAGTACCTACTTGCACAGGAGCAGAGACAGCCATTCTGCATGGAGCAGAGCAGGAGGGCACACCACCACATACTACTGCTCTTTGTACTTCCATTACAGGACAACATGCAGAGCATCCCAAGGACTGATTTCCTCACCTGAACAAGCCAAGGGAAATCTGAGATTTCTCCATTAGAAGTACACTTAAGGACTGAAGATGCCAAACCCTCCAAAAATCCCATTTTCATTGAGCAGGAACAACAAGGAAGTTGAAGGAGTAAGAGTAGGAAGGAGTAGGAAGCTATGATTGGAAGTGTCAGTAGC